TTTTGATCTAAAAAAAAATAAATCCTTCCCATGGCTTGCCCTCAAAACCGTAGAGCACATTCCGAGGCCACCGACTCCTTCGCGGGTCCGCTTAACTCAGCGGTTCTCAACCTATGGGTCGCGACCCCATTTGGGGTCGATCGACCATTTCACGGGGGGTCGCCAAGCAAGGCTGTCCGCCATTTTTCCCCCCTTTTCTGGCGGGTGCCTTACCTCCCTTGGGCTGGGCCAGCTGGTGGTCGGCCTGCTCCGTCTCTGCCGCTTGCCAGCTACGCCTTGGCCGGCGCAGGGGGCGGAACCACGCATGCGCAGCGCTCCCGGGCAGGGAAAGTCCTCGACTTACGACCGGTTGGGTACTCCTCGACTTACGACCGGTTTAGTCCTCGACTTACAACCGGTTTAGTCCTCGACTTATGACCGGTTGGGGGTTGCGACATTAAAAAGGTTGAGAACCACTGGCTAAACTAGAAACTGAACTATCAGTTTGAGGCTGTTAGTCTCCAAGCGACCACTGGGTGGCAGCAAAAAAGGGATTTCTTTTTTTTTAAAAAAAATATCTTTGGTGCCATCTTGTGGTCAACTAGAGATTTGCTGCAAATTCTAACGGCAAAACTCAACCCAGGAAATCCTCAACTTACGACCACATTGGAGCCCAAAGTTTCCACTGCTCGGCAAAACAGCAGCTAAGCGAGCTTTGCCTCGTTTTACGACCTTTCTTGCTTCAAGTTGTTAAGTGAATCATTGCGGTTGTTCAGTTAGTCACACGGGTTGTTAAGCGAATCTGGCTTCCCCGTGGACTTTGCTTGTCAGAAAGTCACAAAAAGGGATCCTGTGACGCTGCGACTGTCATAAATACGAGCCAGTTGCCAAATGTCTGAATTTAGATTAGGTGACCACAGGGACGCTTGCAACAGTCAATCTCAAGCCAGACAGGATCGAACTGCTGGCAGTGGGCAGAATTTGCCTGCAATGCTACATTCTAACCACTGAGCCACCAGGGCTCTTACAAGAGTTAAGGAAGGAAGGAAGGAAGGAAGGAAGGAAGGAAGGAAGGAAGGAAGGAAGGAAGGAAGGAAGGAAGGGGAAAAGGAAAAGGAAAATCACGAGGGGACAGGGTGTTCTAGTTCCACTTTAGGCATGAAAGTCGGCTGGCTGATTTTGGTCTAGACCAGGTGTAGGCAACCTTGGCTCTTTTATGACTCGTGGACTTCAACTCCCAGAATTCCTGAGCCAGCCGTGCTGAGGGGAAAGGGAGAGGTTTCCAAGCTGAGCTATGCTGGCTCACGAATTCTGGGAGTTGAAGTCCACCAGTCATAAAAGAGCCAAGGTTGCCTACCCTGCCTTAGTCCCACACACCCAGCCCCTCCCACCTCATAAGACTTTTGTTGGGAGAATAGGAAGAGGAGGGAGTATTAGCTATATTACACGCACACAGGCACCCAATGTAAATAAATAAAATTACTCCAAATCTCTTTATCAGTCCGTTTTACTCACTGGAGGTCAAACACAAGTGAGTTTCAACATTGCTGTTGTGGTTGGTTCATGGGCTCATGTAACATTGCTCAAGAAAAACCACTAAAAGTTTGGGGAACACGGCTTTGTGTTTTGATTTTTTGGGGTGGCATGAAAACTAGTTGGCTTCCACCTTCAGGGGGGAAAGAGTGACACACACACACACACACACACACACACACACACGACTGCTTTGATCTTCCCTGAGTTTGTTAAGATGGACGGAGACGATGCTTACTCAAAACGAGCACGGGTGAATACATGCACAGTGTTAATGGAGAGGGTAGAGGGACTCCGTGGATTTGCCCCGTGGATTTGGGGGGGTCACCCTGAAGCTCTGCAGCCTCCATGCCTCTTCTGAAGATTTCTTCAGCCATCGCCTCGCTTGGCTTCTGCTGGGGAAAAAAATCCCTTTGATGTTTGCCCAGGACGCTACATCTGGTCATCAGCCCCATTAAAGTTCAAAAGAAAAACATTGTGGTCTAAAATGCTTTTTTCCCCTCTTCTTGTGGTGTTTTTTTGGAAAGACTAGAGGGAAAATAGCAGTCTCAACCTGCCTTTTAAAAAGCAACAGAATAGAATAGAATAGAATATGGAATAGAATAGAATAAGAATAAGAATAGAATAAGAATAGAATATGGAATAGAATAGAATATGGAATAAAGAATAGAATAGAATATGGAATAAAGAATAGAATAGAATATGGAATAAAGAATAGAATAGAATGTGGAATAGAATAGAATAGAATAGAATATGGAATAAATAGAATAGAATGTGGAATAGAATAGAATATGGAATAAAGAATAGAATAGAATGTGGAATAAAGAATAGAATAGAATAAAGAATAGAATAGAATGTGGAATAAAGAATAGAATAGAATATGGAATAAAGAATAGAATATGGAATAAAGAATAGAATAGAATGTAGAATAGAATAGAATAGAATAGAATAGAATATGGAATAAATAGAATAGAATGTGGAATAGAATAGAATATGGAATAAAGAATAGAATAGAATGTGGAATAAAGAATAGAATAGAATATGGAATAAAGAATAGAATAGAATATGGAATAAAGAATAGAATGTAGAATAGAATAGAATAGAATATGGAATAAATAGAATAGAATGTGGAATAGAATAGAATATGGAATAAAGAATAGAATAGAATGTGGAATAAAGAATAGAATAGAATAGAATAGAATAGAATATGGAATAAATAGAACAGAACGGTTATAAATTGAGAACTTCCTGTACTAGGAAATTGATTATTCTGGGGTTTGGAGATGTTAAAAGATGTCTTTCTGTAGTGGTAAAAAATTTAGAGTGGTATCCAACATTATTTATCATTATCATTATTATTCCCTTTTTTCCAATTCACACACATTATTAAAAGCCAATTTGCTTTTTTGGGGGGGATCCAAAACCTTTGCATCATTATTATCCTCATTAATTTTTAAAAAATTCAGTCTCACCGTTTTAAAACAACTTGGGAAGGGGGGGGGGAAATACTGAATTCAATTAAGGCTAAATTCCGTGATGCGGGAATTCGACTCCCTTGGTAGTGATGGTGGGGAAATGAATGTTTCCAGATTCCTTTGGAGGGTAATCAGCCAAGAAAATCAGGATGAATAGTTGGAAGGGCCTGCTTGCTCCAGGCTCGGGTGGGGTTATCAATCAGAATGGAGCTGGAAGGGACCTTGGGGGTCTTCTAGTCCAGCCCCTTGCTCAAGCAGGAGACCCTAGACCATTTCAGACAAATTGTTGCCCATTCTCTTCTTAAAAACAGGTTTTTTAAAAAAAAAAAATGCCTTATTTGATAGCACAACGTGTGTTTTAGCTTTGCATTTAGCAAAAATGCCCTACAAATAAACAATGAACTGAGAAATTCTGAGTCCGGAGTCTTATTTGCTCAACACGGTTACCTGAAATCTCTCCCACGTAAACCGATTTTAGCCCGTGATCTACTTCAGATGGCAGACAGCTACAGCACCTGTTGGCTACTATGGCCCCAGCCAAGTGGATCTTAATTAAATCAATTTTCTTTTAATTGAGCTTGGTTTCCTCTCTCCCTCATTTCTGGTCCCTTTAA